TGAAATTTTTTTTGAAGTCGTCCCTCATGAAAATCCACCACTTCTTCGTGTAACGTTTTTCATTAAATGAAAATATAGTCTGGAAATTCGCTGCCAGGAATTGTTTCATCTTAGTGTCCATCCACACATCAATATGCACTAGGTGCGAATCAAGAACCAACATGCTCTGGTTATCGACATTTGAAACAAAAAATCTGGCCTTCGCAATATACATGCTGTTTATTTTTTCTAGTTCTTGAAAGGTTTCTCTTTCATCCTTGTTTAGGATGAACGAGAAATCATCCTCCACCATTTCATGTCTAGAAAGAAATTCACTTGCCCGTTGAGAATGGCGTGGTGCACTTGATCATTCCGTGTAGTCTTCCACTTTAATGTAATATACATTTTAAACAATCATAACACATTTTAAATTTACAAGCAAAAGAAGCATCTCGTAATCAATGTATTAAATAAACAAAGGTTCCTAAGGACTTCTCCTTACAAGTAAACAGTGGAAAGAATAAGGGGGGAAATCATAACCAGAANGAATCAAGAACCAACATGCTCTGGTTATCGACATTTGAAACAAAAAATCTGGCCTTCGCAATATACATGCTGTTTATTTTTTCTAGTTCTTGAAAGGTTTCTCTTTCATCCTTGTTTAGGATGAACGAGAAATCATCCTCCACCATTTCATGTCTAGAAAGAAATTCACTTGCCCGTTGAGAATGGCGTGGTGCACTTGATCATTCCGTGTAGTCTTCCACTTTAATGTAATATACATTTTAAACAATCATAACACATTTTAAATTTACAAGCAAAAGAAGCATCTCGTAATCAATGTATTAAATAAACAAAGGTTCCTAAGGACTTCTCCTTACAAGTAAACAGTGGAAAGAATAAGGGGGGAAATCATAACCAGAAAAAGAAGAATAAGAAGAAGAAAAATAAAAAGATGACCACATAAAAAGAGTGTATTGAAGAAGATTAGAAACTGGGTGTAGGGTTCTAATCGGAAGTTTACCGGTCATATTCTTAACTTACATTTTTAATACCCATTTGATAGAACAATGTTTTGCTTGGATCAACCATGTTTTCTATCATGCTCTTTTATAAATATGTAAATTAGCTGAAGTGCAAGAAATTGCCTCCATTACGCTCTTTTTTTATATATCATTTCTCTGGCCTTATTAAGAAAAATTATCTTAAATACTTGTTTGGATAACCTCAACAAATACAGCCATATCACTCACAATGCAAGCAAATTAAGTCACTTCAGATGACATTAATTGTGAGCACATAATGAAGTTACAAGTCATTAAAGAAAATAAGGATCTTCGATTAGCAATAGCCATTTTTACTCCGTATATCTTAAGCGTAGCTCTCTTGAGGATGAGTGTTGAGTTTTAAAAAAGGATTGATTCTTAACTAAACCTTAAAGTTAACCCCAAGTGAGATATTTGAGTGGGTAATATCTCATAAGCAACCTTAGATAATCCACCACCCCCGAATAAAAACTTCTCCAATTTCTTGCCTGATTCTTATCACCCCCTGCCTAAACATACATCATTTGGCATCAAAGCTCCGCCTGGGAAACTTTCCTAAGTCTCAACAAATAACCAGAGGACCGACAACGCAAACATTGTGAAAATAGGCTGTTGAAAATTCTTCCAAAAAAAGTTCAGCTTCAAAGAACTGATCACACAAGGAGGTACACATTTTATGTTACAATGAGTTTTTCACAGAAGCGAGATCACTTGTTATCTACGCCTGGCCGTTGATTTCACTCAAGTCCGTGTTGTGGTTAATGAGATACGTCCTTTTAAAGTTGACAACACTATTCTACCAATTCACCCTACCAAAAAACATCTTACACCCACCAAAAATCTACTGAAATCCCTTCCCAAAGTAAGTAAAAACTAGCCCCATCCTCGTTCCAAAGTCAAGCCCCGTCTACCCAAGAGTCGACCCCAAGTAATCTAATAACAATTTGGTGTTTCCATTGTCAAGGCATGGGTCATTATGTTTATGAATGTCCCAACTAGAAAGGAGTAGTCCTTGTTGAATGTGAGAAAGAACCTGGAGAAGTGATAGAAGAAGCTAAGGAATCTGAATACCTTGGTCCTGATGAAAGTGAGATCTCAGTCATCCTAAGGACTTTTAGTGAAATTGCCTAAGATATGTTCCTTAATAATTGATGGTGGAAGTTTTGCTAATGTGGCATCAAAGACCATGTCAAACAAGCTTACTTCCACTCCTGATTCTGTTTTGGTCCTACTCAGCTTAAATCCTTTGGATTCTAGTGAAAGGAGCCAAAGCTCTAACTCGTCTTTTAGTCCCTCGCTGGTGTCATCGATAAGCACACAACATCGTCAGCAAAAAAAGTATGCACCACGGGACCTCCCCTTGAACTCCCCACGTCACGACATCCACCACCAGAACGAACAAGAATGGGCTAAGGGTATACCTTTGGTGTAACCCCACCTCTACAGGGAAAGGCTCAAAGTCACTCCCGATGGTCTTTACCCTAGTCCTTGCCCCGTTGCACGTATCTCTGACTGCATAAATGTAAGCAATCGAGACCCCTCTTGACTTGAGGTTCCTCCACAAGCACCTTGTGGTACACCTTCTCTAGTTACCATATGAAGATCCTTCTTCTTAGCCCTATATTCTTCCATAAACCTCCTTAAGAGGTGAATGGCCTCTGTGGTTGATTACTAGGCATGAAACCAAATTGGTTCTCCGAAATGCACACCCCCTTCCTCAACCTATAATCAATTATACACTCCCAAACTTTCATGGAGTAGCTAAGCAATTTCCAGTTTGATACCTCTATAATTCTCACAACTTTGTATGTCACCCTTACCCTTGAACAGAGAAACTAACAAACTCTTCCTCCACTCATCAGGCATCCTGGTCATCTTAAAAATAACATTGAAGAGCTTGGTTAGCCAAATCAGCCCACTGCTACCCGCATACTTTTAACTTTTGGTTGAAGCACCGAATTATGATAGGCGTTACATATATATAAGCATTCCAATATCCCTTGAAAGCATATTAACCTCTAAAAGTTCATTCAATTTGTCGAGGAATCGCATTATTTTTAAGGAAGTCTAACAAAAAGGAGTATTGATCAACCATTCCATGCATTGAAAATGTAGCCTTGTGAAAAATAGTAACCTCACTCAATATGTTTTAAAAAACACATGCAAGAGAAAAACGAATAATTACAGCTTGTCGAGATCCAACAACTCAAGTGTCCACATAAGATCATCTGAAAGAATATACTGTTTCAGGTTACCATCTTGGAACCCCCCTCCCTTTATGAATTTGATCGTAAGCCCTTGCAGATGTTCGATAGCAATGGGGCCTCTTTCGCGTATACTTTTAATATTAAATCAAGGGGGGCTTAACACCATGTATGCCTCTTTTATCGAGTTCAATCAAGATTTTTTCAATAGTGCTTCTTGAAGAGTTGCTGGATATACAAATGATGTCTTTCATAACATCTCTAAAAATTTTGACGAAGTAATCTCGCATGAAAGTCTACCACTTCACTAAATGGAAATATGTTCTCAAACTTTTCTTCTAAGAATTCCTTCATGTTAGTGTCCATTCAAGGTCAAAGTTTACAATTTTGACAAAAAAAGTCAAATAGGAAGATTAAAGGCTAGACGGAGCGAGTATACAATTTGATACTAACACTGTCCCACACTTATTGCCTTAGTTTGAATTTTTTGTCACTCTAAATACAAATTGCGAGAAAATTGTATATTTCATATTTTGTTATAATGTATTTTTAATACAACAATAACCAAGTAGAATTCTACATCTAGGGAGGGTGTATATACGGAAATCTTTCCCCTATTAAAAAATAAAGAGACGTTTTTAAAAACCTATCAGCTCGAGTAACGCAAAAGCATAGATCATGGAAAAAGAAACATAGAAAAATAAAGATAGAAAAAAAGTCAGAAGCATCAAGTATATGAAGAACACATCAACAAGAGAATAAAGTTAGATTAAGACATCTACCCAACTACTTGCATCTATCTGTTCAAATGCTTCAAAAGCCAAAAGTCATGTCTGACTACCTTCTTCCAGCTCTTCTTAGGTCTACTCCTCACATTCCCACCCACCATCAAAAGCCTCACACATCTCTGCATCGAAATGTATCCTCCACAGAAGTCACTCCCACCTGTCCCCGGATAACCTCATTCCGAACCACATCCAACCTCGTCTGCTCACACATCCATCCTAGTATTCGCTTTTCTGCAACATGAAATTGGCAAATGTGAATGTACTTAACCGCTCAACACTCCGCTCTGTAAAATATAGTTGGCCTCACATCTCGTCATAACGTGATATTAATATTTCAAAAACTTTTTATCTAGTGTCTAGCAAAAACATCTCTATAAAACTGCATATATCTTCACTCCTCAAACTCCATCAGCGTTGGCAGAGTTGGGTAATACTAGTTGTATAAAATTTGATAATATCTGCACACATCATTTTACACGTTAATAGCTCCTCTTGTTCCATTATTATTATATGTCCCACTATAATTTTGTTTGATACTCCGTATCATATTTAGTTTTATTTTGTTCACATTCATTTTTACTTTTTAACATTAATACTACAAAAATATTACTTGTACACCTACATAGTATAAACCACTTGTACACTTTTGCACTGACACGAAATACCTATGTAACAAAAATATCATGTGCCAGTGTTAAATGCGGTATACAAGTACACACCATGTTGGACTGTTCGTGTACACATATAGATGTGAACGAACCGAATCGAAGCAAATACCGAGATATTTGGGTTTGTATTTGTTTAATTATTTCTAATACAAAGCTGAATCTGAATATGAAACGAATTAATTTTCTGGAGGCCTTAACTTTAATAGGGTCAGAGAATTCAACCTATCAATGCTGTGTAAATTGCTTGGAAATTATTATTCAACCAGAACTCCTTGTTTCTCGCATCTTAAAGGCTAATTATTTTTGGCTTGGTAGCTTCTTCGGCTTGACACTTGGTTCGAATCCAAGTTTTATCTGGCAGTGTATCTTGCAGACTCAAGCCATTATACGGGAAGGAACACGGTGGAAGGTGGGAGATGGTATGAATATATAAATTTGGGAGGACCCATGGCTTGGAGATAAATACTTCCCGTGGGTGATAACGCCTAATCCGGGTAGGGATTATACATGGTCTCAAATCTCATATTCAATGGTTCTTGGAATTGGCAATGAATTGATGAGATATTCGAGCGTTGAGATAGGGAGCTTATCCAAGCTATTCTACTGCCACAAACAAGGAGGGAAGATATTATGATTTGCGCCAAGGACAGGTCGGGTCATTATGCAGTCAAAAGCACATACAAATCGTTGGCATGGGATGATTTGGCTCAGGGTGAAGGAACCTCTAACAGGTTATGGAGGAAGATTTGGGCTGTTTGGACAATGCCCGATATTCGTAGTATGGTGTGCAGAGTGGTGAATGATATTGTTCCTTGTTTGAGTAACTTAGTGTTGAAGAGGGTTCCTGTGGAAAATGTGTGCCCGCTTTGCCATGCTTCAAAGGAAACAATATTGCATATTTTTTTCACTTGCCCCTTTGCAGCGTAGGTCTGGGGGGATTTCTGACTTGGGCTGGTACTCTCAGACAGTCCATAGCTTTAGAGATTGGATGATGGCAGTGTTTGAGGAATATATTGCACATGATCAATCCCTGGTTTTGCAAATTCTTTGGGCTATTTGTGCAGCAAGGAATGCAATGGTTTGGAGGGGAGAGGCTGTGACACCGCTGGGGTACGTGTTGGTTGGACAAAGGCAAGGCGTTCATTTGGTGACTTGTTGGACAAAGGCAAGGCGTTCATTCCATGGCTGTTTGGGAGAAACCGCTTATTGGGTTTCTTAAATTCAGTACAGATGCTTCAGTAGGCCTCATGAACGGTATATGTGGTCTTGGTTTCATTGCTCGGGATCACAATGGGACTTTTATTGTGGCAAAAAATATCTGATGCAAAGGAAGCGTTGGGGCTCGGGGGGAGGAATGTTATCATCAAATCAGATTGCCAGGATGTTATTGATAGCTTGGGGAAGTGGTTTGTTCAAATAAAAAAAAGTTGTATTTAATTAATATTTGAATAGTTAACGAATCATAAACGAATATTTGAATAATCATACTCTGTAATTTATATAAAATTTATAGACTCATATTGATTTTGAATAATTTAACTTACAATATCTCTTATACAATATCTAAATACATTAATACATTTGTGTCTTACACAAATTATAATTTAAAAATATACTACCTTGACCAAGTTTATTTGTCTTGCTTGACTTTTTTGAATCAAATTGGATAAACTTTAAACTTCAATTACTGTTGATTTCTATTGCATATTAGTATAAATGAAATAAAATTTTAAAAATTCTTAACAAGAAAAATCTAATGAAATTATTTTTATAATAATACATGTTACTGAGTATAATTTTTGTTTAATTGAATCTCGAAGTTCATCTTGTTTTACTCCAAAAAGTCAAGATGGATAAACACGTTGAGACGGGGAGTAACTATTAAAAATTATATGCTTTAAATTTTTTGTTATATTAACTTGACGTTATTTTAGTTATTTAAATGCAGTTTAAACAATATAATTTTACTTAACTATTTATTTTAAAAACATGGTCTGTGTATATATTTGAATGTCATCTGAATCAAATACACCTTTACTTATATTTATATTTGTTTAATATTCAAATCAAAACTAATCTTTGAATTTCAATTTATATTTGAATCATGCAAATTCGAATCATTATATTCAAATATGAATCACGAATTGCTATACACGTAGCACGGCCGTTAATGTCAATCACACCACTATTTTTCATAATTCTCGTCATTTTCTCATGTCCAAACAAAGATGGTACCTCTACACCATAATCTTTGGGCATTTTTTTTCGTAAACACCCCATACATAACCAGTCACTCAAATAACTAACACAACCAACGATTAGACTACTGCAAACAACCAATTTCCAAACAAGGTCTGAAATAGAAAAAATGATACAAATAATAACAAGTCGTGTGATGTGAAGAACGGGGAGAGGTGGGGGGTCAATTTGAGAGTTGAGACTTAACTCACTCGAGACTAAGACCAAGAACCAAAGACTTGCATTCTTATAGAGTTAAGTAGTCTGAGAGATACAATTTCATACAAATCAACAACATATCAGTGGGGCGCAAGTGATTTTAAGGAAGCTTGTCTCTAAGATCCTTGAGAGCATTCACTACATGGGAATCAAGATTGTGTTTCAGCAATTTTCCTTGCATGGATGTAGATCTGGAAAGAATGAGACTAACACATTTAGATGCCACATATGAGGCATACATATGAGGCAAATAAGCAAATCCTAACTACCTTGATGAACATTCATTTTAATAAAAATTTAAAAAAAAAAAAAATAAAACAAAATGATTTTTTATGTCAGAAGGTGAACAAAGAATGGACAAAGAATGCACCATAGAAGCACTCGAAAAGTACTCCCTACGTCCAATAATAATGTTACCGGTGTGCGTTACTAAAGTTATTTTTAACTCGTTTTATATGAAAAATCGTATGGAATTAAAAAATAAAAATTACATATTTAAAACCTACATGAAAAGATCTAAAAAACTAGATGTGACATGACAATATTATTTTATCAAATGGGCAACGAAAATACGCCAACAAAGTGAATAAAGTTTGACCCTGCGAATAATGAACAGGAATATTATTGTTGGATGGAGGGAGTAGTTTCGTAATTCGTATATTTTTTTTACAATGTATTTTGTGAGAAATCAATGGTAAAAAATTCGCAAATAGTACTGTAATGAAAAAATTTTTTTGGTAGGGAAGAAGCATTAAATAACATAAAAATTGATCAAAAAATATCTTCAATGTTTAAATTGTCAAAAAACTTTAAGAAAAAAACCCCTAAAACTAGCACCAACAGCATTGAGGCCTTAGAAGAAGAAAAAAATACCTATGTTCTTGCAACATCGACTCAAGCTCCTCATGTGCAGCTTTGATCTGCATTGCCCCAAAAATTCAATGTCAAAATATTTGAACATTTTGAACACTTAATAAATGTTACAGTACAAGGTTTGACAGAGTTTAATAATACTATTCTGTATCATAAAATAATAGGAAAATTAATAAATCTAGAAATAATAATACCCCATAGTATACATTGCATTTCTTCAGTCTATATCTTGATAGATACTTTTTTTTAAATGAATAAAATTGGATTAGAATGTTATACAATCACATATTATCTTTAGATTTCTATTTTTTCATAAATTTATAATATATAGAACCTTCAATCCAAACAATCCCCAAAACAATTATTGGATGAAGGGTTTTGGAAGGGCAAGTTTTGGAGAGCTTGATTTATATAATGATGAATAGAATGTTTTTGGAAACAAATAATGGGTGACTGAAATACTGTATCATCATGCATTATATTATTCCTTCTGATTTTATAAAATCTTAAATATATATCATCACATACACTAATCCCCTCCAAAAAAAGGCCTTCTTCCAAGGAAATGGTCAAATGGAGAAACTGCAAAACGCATAATCACATAGATGTGATGCTTTACAACAACTCAGTTCAATCCCAAAAAAGTAGGGTCTGGGCAGCATGTGTATACGTAGACCTTACCCCTACTAGAAAGTAGAGAGGCTATTTCCAAGAGACCCCGAGCTCGAGTAACACAAAAAACACATAGCACTGTAAGAAAATGAAGGGAAAATTAAGGCATTAAGCATATGAAGCATAATGATGGCACACAAATAGTTGCAAGCAAAAAGACCTCAAGCCTAGAACACACAACGAAAAAAATAAAAACTACCACCGAAGTCCAAACTACCCAACTACTGTAATCCTAGATCTCCAGACACTCCTATCTATATGGCCATATCTTCGATAAAGGCTAAAAGTCCTAAGTCCTACCTAACCACCTCCTTCCAATCCTTCTTTGGTCTATCCCTTCCCGCACCCCACCCACTATTACGAGTCTCTCACGTCTCCGTACCGAGGCCTCAACACTACGCTGCTTCACGTGACCAACCCATCTCAATCTAGCCTCTCACAACTTATCCTCCATAGGTGCTACTCACACCCTTCCTCGGATAACCTCATTCCAAATCATGTCCAACCTTGTCTGTCCACACATCCACCGCAGCATCCGCATCTCTACTGCATGCAATTGCCAAACGTGGGCCTTCTTGACCACCCAACACTTCGCTCCATAAAGCATAGCTGGTCTAACAACAGACCTATAGAACCTACCTCTCATTCTTGTCAAAATGTTCTTATCACACAAGACTCTTGAGGCCATCCTCCACTTAGCCTAAACGGCTCCAATACGATGAGCAACATCCCGTCTATCTCCCCATTGAATAATCGAGCCAAGATATCGAAACTTATTTCTTTTAGGCACTGTGTGTGAACCAATCCTAACGTCCACCTCTGATTCTGATACCCGACCACTGAAGATACACACCAAGTAATCCATCTTAGTCCTGCTCAGTCTGAAACCAGAGAATGACGCCACAACTCCAACTTCTCATTGAGTCCCACACAAGTCTCGTTGATCAGTACAATATCATCAGCAAAAAATACGCAGCAAGGAACCTCTTCTTGGACATCTTATGAAAGGACATCCATCACCAATGCAAACAGAAAAGGATTAAGGGCAGACCCTGGTGTAACCCTACCTCTACAGGGAATGGATCAGAGTTGCCCCAATTAGTCTTCACCCTAGTCTTAGCCCCACTGTACATATCACGAACTGCTCAAATGTAGCCATGTAGGCAACTGGCACCCCTCTAAACTCAAGACATCTCCACAAGATCTGCCTCGACACTCTGTCGTACGCCTTCTCAAGATCAATGAACACCCTGTGCAAGTCCTTTTTCTTGGCTCTATACTCTTCCATCAACCTCCGTATGCGATGAATTGCCTCTGTGGTTAACCAACCATGCATAAAGCCAAACTGGTTCTTGGAAATGCACACCTCTTTCCGCAGCCTAGCCTCTATGTATGCTCCCAAATCTTCAAGGTGTGATGCTCTAAGGATCTTTAAATATCATTGTGGTATTTTCAGATAACCATGAGTGAGTGCGGAGAGAAAGATCATTATAGTGTCCCATGACATTTTGATACGGTAATAAAAGTAAATATTGTATGAGTTTTGCACATTACCTCAGATACCAATGCTTTGCAACTCCAAATAAAAGCTCCCTGATAAAATAATTTAAAGTGATGAAAAGTTGATTAAAATTGCTATACTAGTCTTTAATTAGCTGCTACTTAGTACGAGTATTTACCTTAGCATAAAAATCAAACTTAACCTCTGCCTAATGGATGTGGTTCTCATTTTGGTCCCTGTGGCTGAACCCTAGTTACTTGGGATAATGATTAGTTGTTTTCACACAGTGCCTAAGCTCCCACAAGGTGGAAGGAGTCTAGGAATGGGAATGTCAAAACAAACAGCCTTGCCTTTAGCTTTTTTACAAAGAGGCCGGCTCAAACTAGTCAGGACTTCCACCATTGTGCCCGGCCCAACCTCCCTTTTGCCATTTTACTTGCAGAAAAGAATATATTATTTGCATATAAGATCGCAAAGACTAATGTCCCTTCAGATAGCAGTGATTAGCAATGCACAAATCACAAAATCAAACCCTCTTAATGGAACAGCCAAGCCCAAGATTTCGAGAACCAATACTAGTTTCTGTGTTTTAGAGAACTAGCATAAAATTAAACCCACATGCATGAAAATAATGGTGAATAATCAATGATGATGACAACATTTCTCTCAAATATTTCTAACAACTTTAATCAACTCCAAACTACATATCGTCCTGCATCGCCAAATAACACTACTTTTTTTAGTAAATACATAGGACCATGTGGATTTTTGAGCTAGCTGTTACTAAGTGAGT